ATTTATTGGAAATCTAGAAAACAAAAAAGCGTTACAAAAGCTTCAACTTTTGCAGAGTATGTAGCATTGTCAGAAGCAGTAAGTGAATTGATATTTGTAAAAGAATTGTTGAAAATATTTGATATTGAAATAATAAAGCCAATTGATGTTTATGAAGATAACACTGGTACAATTAGTATAGCTAATTATGGCAATTTTACAAAAAATTCTAAGCATGTTGAAATTCATTATCATTATGTAAATGATTATGTTAAAGCAAATGTTATAAATGTGGTTAAAGTAGATTCTGATGATAATATTGCAGATATTTTTACGAAGTCCTTGGGCCAAGATAAATTTGAAAAATTTCGAAGTATGTTAAATTTGAATTAATGTAAATACAATGTAAATGTAAGGAGGCGTGTTGAGAATGTAATACATTTATATTGTATACACAGATATATTGGTGTAAGAGTAAGCGGAACGCACCCATAGTGTCATGGGTTGACATGACAGACAATAATAGTAATGTCAATGAGTATCATGTAGTTGTAGGTGGTAGTAAGAAGTATGGTGGCTTAAGTTAGGTTAGTTAATTAGTATGTATGTTATAGGAAATAAAGCCTTTTATAATAGTAGTAAAGTACGACTATTTATTTTCCAAATCCACACCTTAACAATTTCAATTTTTGTAATAAAACATAAGAAAATATAATGGTATCTATATTTACCAGTGATCCTTCGACACTGGTAAATCCATCCTTCCCTTAAGAATACGACAGGATAAAAAGAAGAAACGAATTCCATATAGACGAAGAAGACTACACCAGCCCTAGTGAAGTTGCAAAAATCATCAGAAAGCTAAAGGGAAGTAGAGCACCAGGAAAAGAAGGAATCCACAACATTACCCTCAAGGAACTCCCAAAGAAGGTCATAGTTCAACTGTACTACATCTTCAAATTCTGCCTAGAAAAAGTACATTTTCCAAACAACTGGAAACACGCCAAAATCATCCCTCTACTGAAGCCAAGGAAAGATGGAAGAAGACCAGAAAGCTACAGACCCATATCACTTCTGGAATCGATGGGAAAAATCCTGGAAAAAATCATCTACAAGAGACTGATGAAACATACGGAAAGAAGAGGAATCATACAAGAAGACCAATTCGGATTCAGAAAAGGAAGAAACTGCGAACTCCAACTAGCAAGAATAATCAGCGATGCGAAGATAAAATTCAACAAAAAACAGAAGACAGGATTAGCCATACTGGACATAGAAAAAGCGTACGACACGGTTTGGAAGAAGGCATTAATCTACAAGATGGACAAGGCTAGACTTCCACATTATTTAATCAATATTTGTGATATTTACTTATCTAATAGAACTTTTCAGGTGTCAGCTGACCAAAAGATGTCAACGATCCAGCAAATCCAAGAAGGGATGCCTCAGGGCAGCATTTTATCACCCATACTATATAACATTTTTGTTGCAGATCTTCCAACAGATCCTAGGACTTCCACAGCCCTGTATGCAGACGACACGGCAGTGTATGCATCCGGAAAAGATGAAAGAAGAATCATAGATGATATGGAGTACCACTTGGAGAAAATCACGGACTTCACGGAAAAATGGAAAATCAAGATCAATGCAGAGAAGACGCAGTTCATAATATTCACTCAAGAAAACCGACCACCACAGAACCAGATAACAGTAGGAGGCAACAGAATACAGGAAGCAGAGACGGTCAAATACCTAGGTGTCCATCTCGACAGAAGACTCACTTTCCGGGTGCATACACAAAAAACTAAGGTAAAAGCTAATGCTGCTAAAAAACTGATACTTCCCTATATTTACAGGTCCAGTCCATTGTCCAAGGCTAAGAAGATCCAACTCTACCAAGCATATGTTAGGTCGGTGATTTTGTATGCTGTACCAGTCTGGAGCTCCATTGCGGAATCCAACTGGAGAAAGTTAGAATCAACTGAGAATTCATGCTACCGAATCATCGACGGAACATCATGGGAGGATAGAGTTACCAACGCCACCATCAGGAACAGGTTAGGATTCACGCCACTGAGGGAGGTGGCCGAGAACAGGACCAGGTGGTTCTTCAACCAGGCCACAAGAAGACTGCAAAAAACCAGGGATATCCTCGAGAAAAACAGGATCCAGAAGATACACCGAGAAACTCATAGACTCATCGACCACATGATCCACTAGCCAGGCTTGCAGGGAAGTAGGTACCCAGACAGCACAGGACATCCCTGGGACGTCCATTTTATGTCGTTTTAAGGTCCAAACGTCCCGGGACTTCTTTTGGACGTCCGAAGGACGTCCAAGGGATATTTCTAGTCGGACATACCAGAGACGTCCCATAAGGTCGTCCAAGGGACGTCCCATTAGGGATGTATTAGGGACGTTAACTGTGTCATTTTTTTACTTAAGCATATTTTTAACAAAATATAATCTTCCTACTAAACTTAATTTTAAAAAGTTATATTTAGTTTTAAATACCATTAATTTATACGAAAACAGACAGAGGCTCCTTTTAGAGAAAAATCTTTATCCTATAGCAGAGCTGTATCTCTAAAATTTTGTTCTGTAGTGGAACTGAAATTTAAAAATTAGAAGATAAAAGAAGAATGTGGTTATGTTTTAACGACGCTTCTATTTATCTCGTTTATTTCTCGAATTATAATCATTGTGTTTGTAATTAGAATTAGTTTATTGCTTTCGATACTAGTTTATAGTTTGGTAATTTATTATTATAGACATTCAGTACTTTCAGTAGGTATATAGGACTTTTATAGGTAATTTTTGTGGTTGTGGTGTGTTGCTACATTTGTAAAGTAAGTAGGAGTAATGTGCTTAAAAAATACTATAAATTTAAATACATATGTTAATATAAGTACACAATAAAACTCCCATTTATTTTTGCTTTTCATTTTATTAATTTTAAGGAGTTCCCTTTAGGTCCTGTATACATCCTCATTTAGGTCCTATATTAGTCCATGTGGACGTACAATAGATGTCCCCAATACATCCTTCTTAGGTCCTATATAAGTCCGTATTAAGTTCTGTATATGTACTATGTACGTCCCCATGAACATCCCTGGGACGTCCAGGGGACGTACTTTTTGGTAACATTTAGTTCTTATTGGACGTCCCGGGGACGTCCAAATTATGTAAACGGATGTCCGTGGGATGTCCGGACATTTAATGAGGTACATCCTTTGGACGACCATGGGACGTACTTGTGCTGTTTGGGTACGTTTGCCGATACAGTACCTACAGAAGCAGACGAGGACACCACCCAGGAAGATCCAGGACCCGAGAGGAAGAAGACTCAGAAGATAGCGGTGCAAGAGCGGGACGCTGAAGAAAAGAAGGCAAACATTTTTAGAATTTGAAATGTTATGTTAGATATGGCAATAAATGTTTTTATTTTTATTTTTATTTTTTATTTTTATAATTTACCTTCGACACTTTGTTGTCATCCTAAATAAACCCTGGTAGCTATATTTACCAATAATTTTTTGCGTAAATTTGGTAGAAAAACATTCGCGAAATATTTTTCCCGTAAATCCAAGGTCACATTGAATACCTACGCAATATATGAGCTGTAATTTACAAACCAAGGAAAAAAGTTTTATCACTTAAAATGTTACGATGATTTTGAATGTTTTAACTTTTTTTGTATTATCTTTCTATTCTGAGTTCAATTAACAGTTAGGCAGTTTAATAAATTCAATGATTCTAATTTACATTCATTTCTTTAGTATATTTTACAAAAAAGTATAAACAATATTAGGTACTTATATCTTTTTGTTTAATTGCTATTAAAATTAAAAAAAGGTAATTAATATTTTCTCTGGAAATGTGGCAGTAGGCCACGTTTTGGGAACCGCTGTATTGGAATGAATGCAATAAAAATTAAGAAGAAGCGTTGGAAATAATAATAAAGATCATAATGTGCTTATATTATAATAAGATAAATATATTTTGGACCATAGTAAACTAAAAATCTCCAGAAACTATATTTCTAAAATTAGACATAAATACTAAAGGTGGAAAAACACATTCTCGTGGTAACTGTTACGTTAAAATATTGACAACTGATACAAAAAGACAATAGATATTTTGCATAATCAATCTTTTATCAAATAATATATTTTAACCTGAACATTGATCGAAAAAAGATTAAAATAGTCAAATCCCAATTATATCTACTTGGAAAGTAACAATAAATGAGAAAACCATTTTTGATCAGAGTATCTATGCCCCTCATCACAGACATGACCTATCTACGCATCTCTCACCAGCTTTTCTTTTGCGTTCCTCTCCTACAGATTCCAGAAACTTGCAACTCATCAAACACAACCTAATTATTTTAACCTGTGCTCTCTCATTTTGCCATCAATTGATGCCACGCCTAAACTGTTCCTAATAACGTATTGACGTATTGTCAAAATAGATAGAGTTTGTAGAAACTTGTAATTATTGTACTACATAATCCATGTGTAGTTACTCACCATATTATAAGGACTTTAACTTTTTTGTAAGTATTGGATTTTAAATGGTTTTTTTACTAAATATATAATATTTTTCCTGAAATAATGTTTACTAATTTATTTCACTTTATTTCCAATAAAAACTACCTGTTTTCCCAAAAAAAGTACAGATTATTTTACCCTACCCTAAGGGATAATTTTGTCCCACCCGGTTGGGTAAACTGATCCTTTTGCAAACATTTGAAAGCTTGTAAAACATTTATCATACAATATTAATTGCATATACCATACAGCAAGCAGAATAGTTGATGAGTCTAAAAATAATTTTTCCGAATTTTTTTTGCCCGTAATTAAGCATTAGTTAGATTTTTTTTCTTACGAGGATCATTTTGGGCCACTCTCCCTTATGTACAAACTGTTCCAAAATAACAACTCTTTCGACCATCTCTACCAAATGTATTTTTGGCTTAGGAAATAAGCGGTGGTTCTATTGCATAAACATGTAAGCATCCTACTATCCCCCTAACACAGTTTTTGAGAACATAATGAATCAAGGTTGTTGGAAAGTTGACGAAAATGATGAAGGTAAGATGCTTCATTTATTTATACATATATCCCACATTTTTCATTAACCGATTGTGATCTGTTACTCCATTCCATATTTTTCGACCTTATTTACATTTCACTTGGATAAATAAAAAATGTTATTATTAGTAAGTGCCGGCAAGTTATCAGAAAAAATAGTTGGTCCGGGCAAGCTACAGCGCATGTGGAATGAACCTTTAACTAACTAATGTTTATTTCTGTCAAACGGGAGAGTTTTTAATTTATTATCTTTTAGAAGAGACACCTATGCGAACTATTAGAATGTCAATTACTTGCTACTTTATTTATCAAATCTAGGTAAATAATTATGAGATTGTTGACACTTTAGGCAGTTTGTTGGCAAGTTAAAGATAAAGATATTGCAATGTGTTGATGTGACATCCTCTCAGATTATTGTCATTCTGATACATACAGATATTTTACTCTTTGACGATTTTTCACACTTTTTTAGTAAATTGTCAGACATATGATTATGAGAAGCAGATTTATTACTGAGCAATTCTATATTTAGACCAAATAGACTATCAATGAATCCAGCTCCGCTGAGCATTTGCCATTGACCTTAAACTAGCGGTGAGGATCAACGTTAACATTAATGTAAACACCGCTGCTCACATACCTACTCTTCCTTCCTTCTAATCTGTACATTTTAACATATGCGTGGTGATTGCAAATTCAGAGATTGTATTGTTCTTTTCGAGCTTTCCATCTAACCCTATTCTGGATTACATGTATCTACTGAATTGACGAATTTCTGCTTCTTCTTCCTTTTTATAAGCAGTTCTGCTAATTCATTGGCGGATTGATACCTCTATGGAAGGTTGTCACTTCATCTTTTGCGCGCTTGTGTGATACTTCTACCGATTGGTGATTTATTTCTTGCTATTTTGACCACATGGGTTTCCCCCATTTCTACTTATTTATTTCATTTTTTTTTCAGTTGAGTGTCCATTCGTTTATACAGTGTACGTTGCATCTTCTTCTAATGTCTTCACTTGTATCTTTCAAATGCATCACTTTTTTTAGGCTACATCTTTTGAAGATTGCCATTTAATAATGAAAATTTCATAGTGATCGGTTAATGGACGTAATACATATTATTGATCTCATGACAATCTTAAAAAACAGTAAAAATCGCTAAATGTTTATTTATTTATCACCTTTATATAAACTGACTTAATTTGCGACAAAATACAAAAATTGCAGGCGAATGATGCTCTCTTTACCTTTAAAACGCATTTTGATTTTTCCAATAGGACACTCTGATCATAATATATCGAATTATACAGTCAAGTTGATATTAACTTTATTATTTAAAATTGATTTCGCGCGCGTACTTATCATTGAAAATCACCGCTCGCTTCAAGCCTTGTTCGGTGTTATTTTTGTCTCTGACGACCGGAGTATGGAGAAAAATGGCACAATAAATATTAAGCTTTCTCAAACTTTTGTTCGCTCATTACGTAATCTTCAATATTAGGCCTAGACGATTAATTATATTGCACAACTCGCAATATTGCGCAATATACTTAAAGATAATTCTAGACAAAAAGCACCTTTTTATTCTACCTCATTAATAGCGTTACAACTCTTCGAGAGTCTTTGCTACGTTTACTATCGCCTTCCATATTTGTCGGTCCTGTGCCAATATTTTAAATGGTCGCACTCTCATTTTCTCCAAATCCTTTGTGACTGTATATTTTCATCTTTTTTTAAGCCATCCTGCAGATCTTTCTCAGATGTGCTCTTTCCCAAAACACAAATAAGGCGATTGTCATTACTGCGTATCATTTTTATTGCTTTTTATTATTTATTCTTTTGTAAGGTTTTGGGGAACTTAATAAATTGTCTTGTCTACTTAACTTCATAAAATATATGCCCATTGCTGACTTATTTTTTCTTTCCTGTTTGGTTCTGGAGTTTCTGCTTTTGGAGTTATTAATATGTCCAGGTTTACCCTTTCAAACTCTTCACCTAGTTTTCTTGGATGCTTTTCGTATTACTTGATCTAAATCATATTCTATCATATATTACCAGAAGGCTGAGTAAGATGTATCTAAAAGACTAAATTTTTTGTCATTTCTGCCTAAAAGTTTGCGGAATATAATCTACATATTAAATTCATTGAAAATCATTGCATCTTCCATACTTGAATCAAATTTTAGTTACAAAAACATTAAAATTAGCTATAATCAATATTAATTGCATTTATACGTTTTTCCATATTTCTTTCCCTCCTATTCGCCTACTTAATATTTGTTTTGTATATAGATATGATTTTACCATTGTGCACCTACTTTACCTTCAAATCACTTGCAATTATATAAAATATTTCTATTTGTAGTTCGTCTGGCAAAAGATAGACACCACAACTTTTCAAAAACACTGTACACCAAGCTTTATTCGTCGAAAAATACTGGTTCTAAAGGTACCTTTCTGAACTAAAACCTACTAATACCTCTATTTATGTCAATAAACCAAGGTTTAAAAATGTGTAATGGACAACACAAAAACAATCTATTGCTGTTTGTGATCGAATTGTAGCTAATAATATTTGTAGGTTTGTGAACTTTAGTTTGAAAATGTGGTCTCAATCGAAAAGACATAACCTCAAACCTGAACTATGGGCGGAGAGGTATGCTGAAAGAAATACAGGCTCAAAAGGTATTCTTGTCTTTAACACCTATTAATTACTGACACTTTTATTATTTGACCATTTTTTTTATTGTAGTTAACCTTGAGTGAGCTTTAAAAGCATGCTTTTAAAGCATGGTGAATTAGTATATATTTTAAATAAGCTTAGGGACAAAAACTGTAGATTTTTATTAAACCGTATTGACAAAAAATGAGCTTATTAACGAATCTGAAAATTAAACATATTTATAAAGAGTGGTTGTTGCTAAAGCTAAAAATAATTATTATTATCCAGATTTAACCACATGGCTCACACTCATTCTAAGGGAAAAATTTACTCATTCCAGATACCTACGCTATCAAAAGAATTGAGCTCTGGTGGAACCCTTTCCATGTTATCGAGTCCTACGTGACTTGGTACTTCAGTGTATCTCCCAAAAATTTTCGCACGCCTCTAGACGTCGAAAGTAGCACAGCTTTCTGCATAATCTTATATATATATATATATATATATATATATATATATATATATGAAACCTAGAGCTAAGATTAATATTATTACTAAAATTAATATCAAACTCACCAGTCTTCCGGGTTGAACCGCGTCGATATCCATTTTGCCGAGCTTTCGGCATCCTCTCTGATGCCTTCCTCAGGGCTTCCGAGGTCTCAGTCTCCCGAGCCCCCAGACACTACTATACTGTTCACTGTGCTGTCACTACTACTGCTGGGAAAAGGAGACGGTTCATTTATACCGTCGATGATGGCGTGTTTTCTGCGCTGGCTTTACTCCTAGATATTTATACAACTCATTTTCGCCCATGGCCTCAATGTTTTGGCCATTTTGCATATCGAATCGTCCGGGCTAAATCTTTCCCTTGACTATATTTAGTACACGACATTTGTCTAACCTAAAGTGCATACTGATATTATTTGAAAAAGTTTCTACAGTTTTTAGCGTTTGATCTAAGTTATTTGGAGTGAAATCCATTAGTTTTAAATCATCCATATTCAACAGATGATTAAGCTTCGTCACTGCAGTGTTGTTGTTTTTAATGCTAAAACCTGAGTCAGTGGAGTTTAATAGTTGGGATAGTGGGTTCATCATTAGATATAACCACAATGGACTCAATGAGTCCGCTTGGAATAGGCCGAGGTTCATCATCGACTTTATATATTCTTAATATATCTACCAGCCATCCATGCAGCACTGAATCGAAGGCTTTCTTGTAGTCAATAATGCAGTGAAGAGGTTCCTTTTTTTGGTGTATGCCTAGTTAGAAATGACTAAGTCGATAATACGTTGTTCTTTGCAACCCATGGGACCCTTAGCACATCCTTTCTGTTCTGATGCTATAAGAGACTTCTTCTGTGGTGAAGGGTTCATAGACAGTTTTACGGTGGTTTTGGCAGCTGTGCGTTGTATCTTCTATCCATCCAGCATTGGTGTTATTATTATTATTATTAAATAATTATAATTATTTGTAGTTTTTTTAATATAATTTATAATTATAATGGATGAAATATTAATTCCTTCATTATAGTTAAGTGAAGATATTAAGCCAAGTTAAGGCATTCTTCTTCTTCATGTACCATGTCCTTTCAGAACGTTGGTTACCATCATAGCTATTTTAATTTTATTCACTGCCACCCTAAAAAGCATGCTTGTATCTACACCATACCAATCTCGCAAGTTCTTCAACCATGAGGTTCTTCTTCGTCCTGGACTGCGTTTGCCTGCTTTTTTTCCTTGCATGATATTTTGTAGCAATCTATATTTGGGACCTCTCATTACATGTCCGAAATATTCCAGCTTTCTCTGCTTGATGCTTTTTATGATCTCAGTAGTCTTGCTGAGACGTTCTAGTACTGTGGAGTTACGAATCTTCTCCACTCAGGAAACTTTTAAAATTCTTCTATAGCACCACATTTCGAAAGCCTCAAGGCGATTTAGATCAATTTTATTCACAGTCCAGGACTCGACAGCATAAAGTAAGACCGAAAACACGTAGCAGCGAAGTAGGCGGATCCTTAATGCCAATTTTAGGTCTCTGTTACATAACACCTTGGACATCCTTCTAAAAGCAGCTCTAACCTGCTCTATTCTGGATCTAATTTCGCCGTGATTTTCTGCATTACAATTTAATGGCTGTCCAAGGTAGACGATTTTATCAACTTGCTCAAGTTTGGTATTATTTACATATATAGACGGTTTTATATTCTGTTTAGTTAAGGCATTATATAGTGAAAATATACGAATTTTTCGTATACCTACATTACTGATCTTTTACAGTGTCTGTCATCTGTCATGAACGACGACGGTAGCACCAGCCTATCAAAGCGCTGAGTTGGCCATGTCTATCAGTGATATCAATTTTGCTCGCCACTTAGCTCGTGAGGTCAAATTCGCCGTGACTGTTATCTTGAAAATCTAAAAACACAGTTTACAATTATTAAACAAATTAGTTTGGTTCGTTAGCGTGGACCGCCGTGAAGATTCTAGCGAGGATACACGGCAAGCACATGGCGAAAACTATTATATGGTACAACAATTACTGTAAAATGTGAATATGACCTCCATTTAAGCTTCATACCCGCTTCGAACCCACACCAAACTAGCGTCGCCGTGCACGGCAAAAACGATTCTTTTAATAGCGCTAAAACCTATAAATTGAGCCTTCACCTCCTGAAACTATTGCCCCAAATGCAGGCGGACCCACGCCGCTCTTCTCCATGTTCTGACGTTTAGCAAATTGTGCGCATGCTCTACTACTTCGCTCTCCCATCGTTTAATTAGCTCTAGACTACAGGCTCTAGATAATTCAAAACAGTCGCAAATTCGTGAAATATACTATGAGACCCTATATAATAGTAGCAGAAATAAAATATTAAACTTTGTTCTCATAATCTAATTATGTCTCTATTTGTAAAGACGAAAACAGTAATCTCTAAAGTACTGAAATTATTTTTAGCTATATACATCGATCTTGACGATGAGGAAAGCGATGATGACGAAAACAAGGAATATTCCATGTGGTCTGAACTGCCGGATCTCCTTCTAGAAAAAATATTCGCTTACTTGGGTATCAGGGAAAAATATTATGCAAGTTTAGTATGTAAAAGTTGGTACAGAGCCTTCCATTTTCCTTATGTTTGGAGTCGGTTCATTTTAGAAGATAATACACTCACTAGAAGCAGGTTTAATTACTACAGCGGATGGCAGGTATTTTTTAACACATACCATTTTATAGTAATTGTCAGCTAGGAAGAACCAACAATGTGCATTTTAGTATTTTCGAATGTTTCCAAACAAATTGTCTTGGTGGATCTTAAAAATGAGGATCTGTGGTGGTTCTTTGTAGCTGGCAGGTACTTTACCTATTTTCTATTGGTACCAGTAGCTTAAGGCCCTGTATTACTCACATTAGTACTAGAGCTTTATTTTAAGCTACATTGGCGGTAATACCAAAGTTAATAATATCAAAAAAATGTTTATATAGTCTGTTTTTATTTTCAGTACGTTTTGGATCATGTCAGGTGCCAAGCATGCTTAGCGGGCTACGGAAAGCATTTCAAACATTTGACAATAAGACCGATGCTTAATTTTTACAATTTATACGAATTTATGAACATGATTTCCTGGTATGCAGAGCAAAGAGAACAAAAGGAAAATGTGGAACTGGGTGTAGGTAGCAATATCAAGTTTTTTAAGTTTACTTTTCCTTGTAATATGACAGCTAGGGATGATACGGAGAGGATTAGGTTATTTGGAACTGGTGGTAAGTAGTATTTTTGAGGCTTTCTGTGCAAACGGAACAAAACCACGGTTACAAAAACCTCATTATATACAGTTTCTTTCAGTTGAATGTATTATACAATATATGCGTATATATATATATATATATATATATATATATATATATATATATATATATATATATTCGATGATTTAAGGGATTCAAATGTTTAAAACTATCACAAGTCTTGAAAGAAGGAAACGGGTATCAAAAAGTGGTATAAAACTTACGAAATCTGAAACACTTAGATTGGAAAGGAGTAGTAATCCAGTAAATCTCTAATATTAACATTTTTTGTGAATAATATAGATATAGATAGCATTGGTTTAGAACGTCTTCCGACGCTGCCAGAATTTCAAACTTCATTCCTATTCTGCCACAGGTCATCCCTAAAATCTCTTGCAATTATCGCCTTGATGTCGGCCGCCCAACTAGCTTTCGGTCTTAGCTTGTTTTCTTTATACTTTATAATAAATAAATAAATGCAAGTCTCATAATCGTTACACTCACGAGCGTGCGCCAGCAGGCGTGATCGGACTGAGACTGAACGCCACGGCCACAGGCGCCACACCGCCCGCTCTCTTGCAAGTCCTGCGTCACATTTGCCCGTGACGTGACTTACATTTGGAGTCGAATCTTACCCACTATCAGTAATAATATTTCATTGTGTTTAATACATTTATTTAAACATACTTATTAACAAAGTCTCTAGGAATCAACAATGTCCAAAAACCTATACCTAACAATCGTCTTGACAAGTCGTGACAACTGACAACGAGTCTCCCTACATTGTGCCTAGAGCCCCGTGACCGTAATCATAACCTACTGATATGACATCTTTCCCCTTACATTTGATAATCCTTAAAACGGACTGGAGCCCTTTTGAGTCTAGCGCTAGTTCTATTTTCAGCATTCATTTGGGAGGTTGAAGGTTCCTCTACTCCACAACTCTGATTCCCAGATGAGGAGTTTAATGATCTATCATTATGTGCAAAATTAGTATTCTTCTTAATTTCCGCTTTAACTAGGGAAGGCCTTAAGTGATAACTGTTTCGCTTGATGACTTCCCCATTTTCTTTCTGCACTAAATAAGATCTGGGTGCCTCATCCACTTTTTCCAGAACTTTTCCTGGTCTCCATTCTCTACCCTCTCTGACACCTACATTCTCTCCTGGCACTATTTCTCTTCTTACCTTGGTGTTTCTATCATAATAATTTTTATATTCGTTTCTTTTCGCCTCTAGTTTCTCCCACTCATCTTTTAGATTTATGTCTTTGTGCTTTTTATTTGATGGTAGCTTCGATCTAAGAACCCTGTTAGCTACTAATTGGGCCGGTGTTTTATCTGTTCCATTTATTGGAGTATTGCGATACTCCAGGAGTGCCATATCTAAGTCGTCACACTTTCTAAGCATGTTTTTTGCAATTTGAACGGCTCGTTCTGCCTGCCCATTAGACCGTGGATAGCGGGGACTGGACGTTACAAACCGAAAATCCCAGTCTTTAGCAAATTGCTGACAATGCCACGAATTGGAAAAACTGTTATAAATCTCAATGCCTTCTTCTCCAATTAAATTGAGTAAAATTGCTACTTTAACTTCATCACTTTTACCACTTTTTCCTGATGCCATCAGATATATTTCAAAACTTTGCTTAAATCTTTTAAAATTTTCGGCCACATTGCCTTCAAATGATAATGGATTTGGTAACCTTGCTTCCATGATTTTCGATTAATATCCTACTGACTGCGCCAAGTAATAATATTTCATTGTGTTTAATACATTTATTTAAACATACTTATTAACAAAGTCTCTAGGAATCAACAATGTCCAAAAACCTATATCTAACAATCGTCTTGACAAGTCGTGACAACTGACGAGTCTCCCTACATTGTGCCTAGAGCCCCGTGACCGTAATCATAACCTACTGATATGACACTATCATTCGTGTGTTAACATTTAATTACACGTATTCGCATTGTTTTGTTCCGTTCCTTAATAACTTCATTTCTTATTTTATCTCTTCTGGGCATTTGTAGTGATATTCTAATTGCATCAATTTCCACTACTTCTATACTTATTGGTAATCATTGTAAAACTTATCAGATGTTATTTAAAGGTACCTATATTATCATAAGCTTTTTGTAAGTCTACGAATGTCGGATGAATTTGTTTGTTTCTGGATTGTCTTTTTATTCTCTATTATTTGTTTTAAGCAAAATATATTAGCTGTACAAATCCACCTTGCTCTTCTTCTTCATATCGACTATATTTGGACTCACTTTTGGACTATTTGGACTTAGGTCTCTCAGTAGATATTCCATACAGTCTATTGAGCGTGCTGGTTACTCTAATTCCTCTGCAATTTTTAGTAGGTCTGGTAGATGGTAGATGAATAAAATATATTCTGCTGGGGTACCTTCTAAACTGCAACGTTTACCATTCTTTAAACTGCTCAGCGATTTTATAGAAGTTCCCATGTCAATGTTTAGAGGTTATATACGAACTATATACATATACATACGAACTACAGCTATTACATTTTAGGTAAATTACTCCAAGCCATCAAACGATTGATGGGCAATTTAAAAAAGCTGGAAAATCTACATTTAATAGATTTGATGCTCGATCCCAAAGAAGCTCAATATTTATTAGACGAAGTTTGCGAGTCACAATGTTTAACTCTAAAGACATTATTTTTGATAAATACGACAAAAGTTCAATATCAGTTACTTCACGTTGGTGTGTTTTTAAATCTGAAGGTAAGTTTATTTACTTAATTGAAGACTAGAACATAAACCAACTATGAAAAATTTCAAAAATATTTGAAATTTTCTTTGACTCAAATGTGCTGTAACTTTAATAAATCAATAATGAGGGTACCTAGAACATTGCTACCAAGCTTCTTGAAATATCACTTCACTGTAGACGTTTAATAAGACTGGTGAAAGTATGCACTCTTGTCAAACTCCTCTAAGTATACTTACTTCCTCTGTCAGTTCTCCTTCGACTCTTATTCTTGCTTTCTAATTTTGATACACATTCGATATAATTTGTAGATCTCTACTATCTATGTTTTTGGCCTTAAGAATACTTAAAAGCTTTTCATGTTGAACTCTGTCAAAAGCTTTTTTAAAATCTATGAAGCAAGCATATATGTCCTGATTCATATCCAGACATCGTTGTGTCAGAACATTGACTTCAAATAATGCTTCTCTAGTTCCTAGACCCTTTTTAAAACCTATATGTGAATCACTTATTTCTTGTTCTAATTTAATGTGGATTCTGTTATGTATGATTTTAAGGAAGGTTTTCAACGTATGGCTCATTAATTTGTCCGATAGTCATTTCAATCTTTAGCATTTGTGATTTTTGGAATCGTTACAAAAGTTGATAGAAGCCATTCTTTGGGTATGTGTCCCGTCTTGTATATGGAGTTAAAAAGGTCTACAAAGACATCAATATTATCTTCATCAATTATCTTCAATAGTTCAATTGGTATTTCATCATGTCCTGGAGCTTTTCTACCTTTAGTGTGTTTTATGGCATAAATAACTTCCTCTTTCATTATTTCTGGTCCCGTGGTTTCTCCGCCAACTTCTAATTGTTCTACTTTTTGGTCATAAAATAGGTGTTCAATGTATTCTTTCCATCTACGTAATTTGTTTTGCATTTCAGTTATAGTGGTACCATCTGCATTTTTTAATATCCCGATTGGTTTGTTACGATTTCCTGAAATCATTTCTTTAATCTTCTTATGGGTCTTGTAAGTGTCATACCTTGCCTCACATTCCTCAATTTCTTGAAATTTAATGGACATTCATGTTTCCTTAGTTTGTTTTATTTGTTTATTAATTTCTTGATGTTTAATTTTATCTTTGTTTTTATGTATTCTTCTTTGGTCCATCTTTTCGAGAATTTCGTGTGTCATCCATACTTATTTGGTAGCTTTTATAAATGGTAATGTTTTCCGTCCCACAGTCTCTATTGTGTTCTTTATAGTCTTCCATTTTGTTTCAATATCTGTAGTGTTCTTATTTTGTTGTTTTATTTCTTGGATATTCTGATTTATTTTATTTCGAGTCTCTTGGTATGTATTTGGTTCTCTTAGTTTATCAATGTATATTTGTGGTCTAGATCTTTTCATTATTGGTTTTCTCAATCTTACATTCATATATGCTACTACTGGGTTGTGGTCCGAGTTTACATCTGCTCCAGGATAAGTCTTCACGACTGTAATAGAGTTCTGTTCCTTACCAAGATATAATTAAGATCCTTGTCAAGATGCAATGTAATTGCTTTGAACATTTCTCTTCTATTCACAGAGTCGTAGGCTGCTTTGTAGCCTATAAATATGTGATGAGTATCAATGCCATATTCTAGTGTTTTTTCCAAAATTAGTTTTAGGGTTGCAATTTGATGAATTGTAGATTTACTACCTCTGAAACCAGCCTGGTATTTTCCTACTATCCGTTCTGCATATGGTGCCATACGATGACATAGTACTGTGGAAAATATTTTATACGCTGCATTTAGAAACGTAATTCCTCTGTAGTTAGAACAATCAAATATTATATTTCCTTTTTTTACTAGTTATAAGTAGTGTTACTACAGAGAAATAATGTTTTCAACAGTTTTCAAATAATATTTTTATCAACTTATTTTAAATTTTATATTTTAAATTTAAATAACAACTTTCATTTTTAGGAATTACATATAAGCCCTCAAAACCTTGGAGATGATTTAGTAGAACTTCTTGGCCATACCAAACTGAAACACTTACATATTGTTCAAAATAGATACACATCAACCGATATTAAGATTATGCCTGTATCTCCAGACAGTTGGAAAAAGTGCCGGAAAGAGAATACAGGTCTTAGTGTACATTTGCACCTAGAAAGTATGAAAGAAAAACCCTTGATTTGGCAACAGAGTGCTCCAGTTAGGTCGTTAATTTACGATTCTCCACATATTGGTGTAAGTATGGTATATTTTAACATTTCTAACCTGTATCTTTAACAAACAGAGTGTCCTACCACGTCCTATTACATACTCAGGGCGAAATTTTTTATACGAACAAAGCGAACGATTTTTTAATACGTACTCTGTTTTTAGTTTTAATAAAGAAGTTTTAAAGGTAATTAGCACCGCGCAGCCAAGAACCAAGCGTATAAAAACGACATACATAGCATCCTACGTATCAGGACATCCAGTCGCTGAACTGGGCAATGTCCAGTACAGAGGTTCCCAAACTTTTTTCTCTCGTAGACCCCTGGTCATGTTTTTCAATTTTAGGTAGTATTTACTTGAAAGATTTAAACAGTAATGATACATTTTTGAAAAAAAACTAAGCAAAAATTAAATCCATTAATTGGGAGGATTTATGTTATGCGCTGAAATTTCTTTCTACGAGGTATGAAGATGAACAAATTCCCGTATTCCATAATATGGGATAAGCAACAGATCTATTTTTGAAGCCGGAATTGTTGATATCCCATTCCAAACTGTACCTTTCAGTTTTTCGTTAGTGATTGACCTTATTCTAAATAAATTAACAATCCAGTGCGGCATTACCAGCGTCAATATCCTCAAATCCAGTTTCAAAATCTGAATAGACGACATTCAAGCTTGAACATAGATTGAAACATCGTCTTCCTGGTAGGTGACCTGGAACAAATTATAGAACTGAAAAAATTAGTACCGTCCAATGTTTTGCTTCTTCTTCTTATAGTGTCGTACACCTATAGTGTGTTGGCGAATTATCTTAAGGCCAGACGTCTGTCTTTTGCGGCATGAAAAAGATCGCCAGTGTTATTTATGCCTGTCCAGTTCTTTATGTTCCCTAGCCACGACATTTATTTGCGACTTACTCCTCTCTTGCCTTCAATCTTTCCCTGGATGATTAGTTGAGGGATTGCGTATTTTTTTCCTGTCAGAATATGGCCGAGGTATCCAATTTTTCATACCTTGACCAGATTGAGTAGTTCTCTCTCAGTATTTGCCTTTCCAGTATTTGACTTCCTCGTTTCTCACCCTATCTGCCTATGGTATGTGGAACATTCTTCGCAACGTCCACAAGGCCTCCAACTTATTAATGGAAGCTACTTTTAACGTCCATGTTTCCATGTCGTATAAAAATATGGACCATACATAGCATTTAACCATCCTGTAGCGGAGATTAAAGGAAAGATTGCGGTTACATAGTAGCGGTTTAAATTTGATAAAAGCTTGTCTTACTTGTTTGGTACGGCATTTTATTTCTAGTTGAGGATCCCATTGGTCATTTATCATCATTCCCAAGTATTTAAATGTTTTCACTTGATCGATTGGAGCATTATCTACTTGCAGTTGTATTCTTACTTGTATGTTTTGATATGAACTGATGAAATGATAACTTTGTTTTGATCAAATTTAAACTGTCAGCTTGATGTTCAAATTATTATCTTTATTATCGAAAGTACTACAAACGAAGTAAAGAAATAAAACATAATGACGGTATTAGATTTTGATTCGATACAGAGATGGAGTACCAGAAATTGAATTCACTACGAATTTTGGCCATGATGAACGACATTTGGAATGCAATTTTAGATTCCCTTGCCGATTTATTCATCAAGCTGTTTGCTTTGCAAGTTTTAAAAAGCACGGTGGCTGATATTTGAATTCGATTTCGCCAGGTAGAAATCGTATGATTTCTCTTTTTTTTTTCTTTTTTTTTTCTTATATTTAACTGCATATTTCGTGTTCTACTAACCACCATTACCTTCGTCTTGTTTATATTAATCTTCAAGCCCAGTTGTTTTCCTTCAGTGTTTATTCTATCTATTAGTAATTTTAGCGCTTCTTGGCAATCAGCTATTATGACTGAATCATCAGCATAGCGAAGATTACTAATAATATGTTTGATCAGGGTGGTATATTATCAGATGATCTTCCAGCCTAGATAGCTTAATAGTATCATTCCTAAAAGCTTCGATGCATAAAAGGTAAAAAGCATTTGTTTAGAGGACAATGATTGATGATTGAAATTTCTTTCGAATTGACCCTCATTTTCATTTTATAGGCCCCTTAATTTTTTTTTCGGCCACGTAGAACACTTGCAAGTTTTCATCGACCCTGGGTGGTCGATATAGACCACATTGGAAATCACTGGTCCAAAGTAAGGACTCGACGCTAAGACACGCATCACATCGGTGATTTATCAGCAAAAACGACAACGGGAACATAGCACGCCACGCTATCCTGTACTAGTGTGTACTTTCGTGCACATGTATACGTATTATATTAAGTATCCCTTCCTATCCCATACCCCAGACTGGAAAATGAAAAAGCATTCCTGCCGGAGGGCAGCCAGTTTCAAAGTAAGACGAACAAGATTATTTCCAGTATTTTATCTCAAGTAATTTGCTAAGTAGTATTTGCTAAGATTGATAAATATATGTCTTTCTTTTTCAGATACGTACAGATACACTGATTACCGCTATAGACTTTTATGGTAAAGATTTAAGAATTTATGGCCACAAGAATATACCAAGGTTTCACAGATCAAAATCGTTTTCGGAAAGAATGGATCAAAATTTAATGATGCTCATTAGACAATGCACATATCTTTCAACATTGGTAAGTTTTTTATCTTGAGTGCTTCTAATGAGATTTCTGGGTCACAATCATCAACAAAAAAATATCCAGTGTTATGCCGTAATATAAATGAAGAATGCGAACAGCAATTCTCCGTAAGCACAGAACACAAAAAAATATGTTTGGAAAGCAGGAGACATAATAATTATAATTTAATAGCTATGGTTAATTAACAAATTATCTTTATTGTGTATAAATGAATTTTAGGAATTATGACCATTTATTTTATTCACAAATATTCTATTAAAAATTTTAACTTACTTACAGTCACGTACTGTAACCATCGAGCAAAAAGATAAAAGAGGGAATGTAAAGGTAGTGGGGACAAAAATATTGTTAGACAGGAAGTGCTATCTTGAGAGGCCACTTTAAACAAGGAAAGATAGTCTCTTTCCTTGTTTAAGAAGTCAAATTTAGTTTGGTTATGTTATTTATTTGTTTGTCCCAACTGTCACATGAAATTTTATTTATATTGAAGTTTTTTACCAATTGTGTCACTTTTTAAACTATTATCGTTAATATTTAATTAAAACTTTCTTGTCTGAAAAATATTTTACAGCTATTGTTAACAAGTGTCGAAAAATTTAAATTTAGCGCCTTTGCATTTCCGGATATGTCCGCCATCAGAGGCCACTTTTTTGGTCTCCTTTTCATAACGATTAGATTCCCTCTTTTTATCTTTTTGCTCGATGACTGTAACACACTTAGTCTACCCCTGAGTTTGGCCCTGCGTATTTTACAAAAGTAGCAAAATTTACGATGGCGGTAGAATTGGCAACGCTGTTATTCTATATCCGTACACTGCCATCTGAATGTGATTTTCACTATTCGCGAGGAACCGCAAAGTGGGCGACGCCTGGTGGTAGATTTCAAAAGCATCCACTTCGGGAAAACTTTGAAATTGTCATTAATTTGTATACATATTAGCAACCGGTTTATATTGTAATTAACAATGACTTCGACTTCAAAAAACTATTGCAGTGTTCCTTAATGTTCATCCTATTATAATTCACAAAAAAATTCCATACATAATTTTCCGCTGGACGAGAATGTGAGAAATGTTTGGCAATGCATTTTGCGAATTGGCAAACCAAGTACATGACTGTGTGCAGTTTACATTTTACTGAGAACGATTACTTTCCAAGTGTCGATTAAAATATTATTTATATTTTAATATATTTATACTTATTTTACTTTATAGTAACACCTGAAACTAAATTGAGAAGACACCTGAAACGAAAGATCTCTGCCGATCTTGCAACCATATAAATAATGAAGATAATGTTAATTTTACTTCCCGTGTCACAGACATACTGTAGAAAAACAAACATTTAATTTTATTTTTATTCAGGTTTGGGAGTCAATTACCCTATGTATAAACTCGAATAACAAACAAATAAACTTTGAAGAACGTACACCAACTTTTACTTTGACAAAACACACGTGTATAGCATTTTTCATATAAAAAAAGCTTGCACGTCATTCAAGATTTACGTCGTCAGAACCCCACAGCGTTGCCAAAACATCAGAATAGTTAGTAAGTGAGGAATTTTTAAAATGTCAACTAATTGTCAAACTATTATATTAACAGTAAATACACTTAGTTTTAAGATTACTGCACCACTTTAAAATACATAAGAAAACATTTTAATACAAAATTATATATTCTAAATTTTAAACTTACCTTTTTTAGGGCTTTAATAGTAAAAACGTCCCGCCATTATTTCTTGTTCAAAATAATCTATCTTATATGAAAGCTTACCAGCTTTCTACAGACTATTTATTTGTTTTCGCATATCACAATCACAATACACAACAATAATTAGTTTTTAAAGCTATTAATCTAAATTTAATATGTATTTAAAAATACAATTTATGAATATATATTATATTATATTATAATCAAATTGTGTAAGAAATAAAAACCACTCAAAACATAAACAAAATTCCTACTCTCAAAAAGCGGCAACACTTAATACACTTTTGCCACCCGCTGAACTGTCAATAAAATTTGAAGTATTTCCGTATCAGTTGCGTACAATTGTGTAATATATTTAATTAAAATTATTATTTTATGCAATATTAAGACTTAAAAAGATATTTCGTAAAATTTATATTATTAATAATAACAAATTTTTTTGGTTATTTAATCAATATAATTCTAAAATTTCCAATATATTGATGATTACATTTTTCTGATTAATACACCATGTTGACGCCTACGAAAGATCGAGTAGTTTCGTATTATTAGCTGTGTTAGGAAAATTTGAACTCCAAGGTTGATGTTCTGGAAATTTTAAATACAAGTGACGTCACTTTGTAGAAATGGTGACGTGCAAGTGTTTAACTTTGAAAAATGGTATAAATGATTTATATTAAACGTTTTATAGCTTAAAGATCAAATGACAAAATGATTTGTTTTCCCGAAGTTATCGTCCATCTTTGAAATCTTCAGCACCCCCTGTCAGAATTGGCTATCGCGAATAGCAGAAATCACTTACCTACCTTATTAGTGGTCTGTGCACTATAGTACCATTTGTATTACAGGTGGTGACAGAACGAATCTCCACAACTACAGTCTTACTTCTCGCTTACTATGGCAAAAATCTCAAATGGTTGTTTATACGTGGCAACGCTGTGATAATCAAGACTGACTGGAAGCAGGGACCTGATTGGACGGACGAGTTTTATTCGTGGTTAAAAACAAACAGTCGATCTTATACTTTGGTGGAGAAGGAAGTTTCCCAAATATTAGGCTATAAGTGGAAGTTTTTGACAGATAAGGAATTTAAAACGCTGGAATTTAACGTCCATGATTACTGAGAATTAAGCTGCTAAAAGTGAAATTGTGCAATTTAGTACCGATCAAAGAACAAAAAACTTTGCGATGAGAGGTAAACAAGTTTTCTTGTTATATACTTATAAAGAAAGAGTTTGGTGTAAATTGCGAAGAATATATAATATCGTTTTATCTTTTTTAACTTTTACTTCCATCCAGTACAACGTTTCTAGTCACGGGAGAAGAATATTTATTTTATATTTGCAGATTGGTTTGAATAAATATAGGAAAAACACTGTGTTCATTTTATTTGCCCTCCACTACCAATTTTTTATAAATTACTGCAAAAATAAGGCTTTTTTGAAATTATCTCGGTCAATTCTTTATGTATTAATTTTAAAACTATCAATATTGAAGAACTTTTTGTGATCTATAAATTATTTGAACAATTTTTGTCTAAAATGAATAGGAAACTTATAACAGCCCCCTGTGTATTACCCACTAATCTCACGTACTATGCCGTCAGCAGCTCCGCCGATTTCCCGAGCCAACACGAAGCCCCGCGAGAGAAGCAGTTGGACAATGCAAGCGAACCTAGAAACAGCACCGCGTGGGTTCCTCGCGCTATGTATTTTATTTTGTCAACTCAATATTTAATCTCAATATAATCTACAGTACCAAGTGTTTTCGTGTACCTACCCCAAAATCCCCAAGCTTATAAACTTTTATTTTATCAGAATGTAGAAAACTGATTTTTTCATACAATCTGAAGATATTAAAGATAATCAGTAAGACACTGTCAAATAATGTTTTCCTCGTCACTTGAGTAACAACCCTGCATGTAACTTTACTCTAATATATTTTTTGAATTATTCAGTGTATCTGTTTTCAGAAATTTTCCAAGAGCTTATTGTTTATCTTTACTTGATTCTCTAATGTTAACTGTACGATTCTAATACGTTTTTTGCTTACTTTCGCTGGATTTTACGTGATATGTACAGTTTCCTCTTTTGTACTCTGTCAAACGCTTGTTTAAAATCCATAAATATTATCATCGTCGCTTTTTGATATTAATGAGTCTTCTCCTAAACGGCAGGTCTAAAACCTGCCTGGTATTCTCCAATTATGTCCTCCATTATTATTTTTAATACGTTCTTTATGTATCAAACCAGTTACATACCAAAATATTGGCAACCAAAGTGTTGACTCTATATGTTTTGATCTTAATAATAGATAATAATAATATACCAGAAAGTAAAGCAAGTTCAAAATCATCGTCACAATCATTTATTTTAGGAAAAAAATATACAAGATAAGGTACAACATTATGGAAGTCTAATTTCATCTATAAAAGTATGTACTTTTTGATTAATTTGAAAATAAAAAATTTAAAAAATGTTCGTCTAGTTCTTTTCTTTACCAGTAACTACAATGTTAAACCTAATCAATAATTTACTCTGAATTAGTAAATATATATCACACTTCCCCGTAGTGTATGACCTATATTAAAAATCTGGTGTTTTTCTTGTGTACACTGAAAAAACAATATCTTTGCTTAATGCTATTAAAAACTAGTACGTAAAATAGTACATATATAACAACATATATGAAACAATGTAAAAACATTAAGCAAAGCTTGCGCCAACAATTGAAGCCACAATTGCGCCCATTGAAGTCACAAGCAACACTAAAGTCCACTAAATAGTTAAAAAACGCCAATACAGAACGTACAGCAAAAAACACACATAGGAAACAAGCGAATGGGATAAACCACTTAATATTCGACCATATGTTATTATTTTCACCCGAGAAGCTATAACCAGGCATCCTGTCAAAAAAGTTTAGTTGTTACTCAAAACTCAAATAGAATATGTATATATAGCGATGAATGGAATTTTGTCGGAACTTTTATGAGTCTTTCCTACTAAAAGGAAAAAGCGTTTGAACAATTGAATATTTTTTAACTAACACTAAACATGCAGCGTTGGAAGTAGAATTAGAGCACAGAGCTCATTTTGTATCGACAACAGCTCAAGCTCTATCAATGGACGGAAAGCTGGTAGACATTTTTGAATAGTATTTAATAAAACATTTTTAGCGATGCCTGAACACAAAATCGAAGACCTACTAACACGTAGAGGGGCTTTATCAACCCTTAATATGCAATAAAGAAATAAATAACCGAGATATCGTTTACATATCAGGCAATACGAGTTTATATATCAGGCAATACGAGTAATAACGTTTGTATTGCATCACATGTTTCAACATATTTAATTGTTTTAAACAATTTTCCCACCTTAGTTCCATTGGTTTTCGAAAAAGCGAAGGATATGGTTCATAGGAGGACCAAAAGATGGCGTAAGACGTTCTTGGTAGATAACTTACAGCAGATCGTGATCAATGTATATATGAAAACAAATTAGCTGGATAACTTGCAAAAAAAATTATCGTATTTGTTACATATAATAGCTTCAAAATCTTTTGCAGTTGATTACTCTCCAATCTGACGTATTAATAACAGATCTACATACTTCCAAAATTAGTGCAATAAGAGGTAAAAAAAGGCTAATTCAAAGTCATCAAGACAAGACATAATAATGAGCTTTAAACATTAAGCAACTACGAGTTCGTCAAGAAAAGGTCCTCTTCTTCTTTTAATAGTCCTTCATTGTCGACTCCTGGACGTAAGCCTCTGATTGGCGTTTCCATTTTAATTTATTCCATGCTACCTGGTGCCATTGTCTTGCGCTGTTGTCGTGCCAACAACACTTCAATGCAACAGCGCGTTGTATTATATACCAAGAAAGAGGCTAAGACTAGAAAATTTAATGACGGAATTTATGTTATAACCTAAAACCTAATCTTCTGATATCTGTGTTTTTGTTGAAATTTTAACTGAATGGACCTTATGGATCATGCCTTGGGAATCTTTATTCCATATATGGATTATTATTATTAGAAATCTTCTTTACAACTGTAAAGAAGAGTTGAAGCAAGGGGACTTAACAGATGACATATATGCTATGTGATATCAGTGGACGCGGCATGCGAAGCCAGAGTGTAAGTGGCGGTGGTGTCCAAACCGCTCAATTGACACCACAGCTGTGCCAAAACAATATTTCAATTAAGATTAGAGATCTGCAACAAATGCGGCCATATTTAATGAAAATTGAGTATTATTCACATGATGTATCAAACAAAATTTTAAAACCTTGAAAAATATACAGATTGAAAATAATTTAACAATCTTTATAAATAATTGCATACAAAGCTTGATAATAAATGATCAATACATGCTAATAAAGACGTTTTTTCAGTGTAGACCTATTTAAATCACAATAATATAAATATTATCCTTTTTGTTTTTTACAAATATGTAGCGTACTGGAATCAATCAGTTTTTGTGGGAGAATCGGATGATGTTTCGGTTTTTTTACGTTTCTGGGCGGCGATTTCTCTTTCCAACCTAGTCTGAAGGTGGGAATACAGCCTATTCGAGTCTTCTATATTGCTCTGTAACATTACAAATATAAGTTTATCTAACATACATTGACAGTCAAGAAAATGTGCGCGAAATTCACGAAAAATGCTTAAAGAGACTTTACTTTCTAAATCGAAAAAAGAGAATTTTTAAATATTGAAAAGAAAAAAAAACTATTAAATTTATGATTATAATTTTTTCTACTCATTGTTAATAAGGTTTTGAGGTATATAAAAAAAATTTTGGCACTTTTAGTTGTTTTACACCACTGTAGAGGGCGTCTTTCAAAGATGCATTTTAATTTGGGAGACACTGTTCTTGCCTTCCTGTATATATATTTTTTTAATTCCAACGGGATTCAATTCGTGAGATTTAAATCTAATAAATAAACCTTCAAAAAATTATTTTTTTACATTTTTATGGCCTTTATACTCGATTTTACAAAAAGTTCGAAAAAAAGTCTGTTTTTGGGGTGAATTTACCTTTGTATCAAACCGGTGGAGCGGTTTTTTTTTTAACTTTTTAGAGGTATATTCAGTAATGGTACATATAAAGTATCAAAATAAATTTGGTTTACTGAGATTGGTGTAGTAGATTTAAAAAAAAACGTCTACCAGTTTTGGAAAGAAACTGTCGAGTTGCAGGTGCACAAGTGGAGTGGGGCACTCAATGTTGTATACAAACGAGTCTTAGCTCACGTGCGTACCGTTATAAATACAGCTATAGCTTCGGTTCTATTTCGAATTTCTTAATAAAATTTTAGAACAATATTTCTCTAATACTGAGGAATTTTTTTACTTAAAAAAAAACAAAAATCGATTTTTTGAAGATTTAGAAAGTAAAAGTTCCCTTAATAATCTTTCTTGTGACAGCAGAATCGTAAAATATCGATAGGGAGGGTAGGAGGTGTCATACTAGGTTTGTAGGTTCACATGTAGTTGTTTAGGCTCGCTTTTTGTTGGTTGTGGATATATATTACTTTATAACCAACAATTTATAGGTATAAATAGATATAAATAATAAAAATATAAATAGACAAAGCCATACGCGGTGAGAAAATTGTGAGTTGATTAAAAGTATAGCGGTTGAAGGTAATAGTTATATAGAAAATGAAGTCGTATAATCTCACTCCACAGAATGAAAAGTGAAACAATTATGAATATGTTATTTATATATTGAGATTAAGAAACAATGTAATGGATCTAGGAAATAAACTACACAACTTCAACCCAGAAAGTATGACAATATAACAAACAGGCAAGCAATTGATAAGAATGGTCATAACCAGAGAAGCAAGCAAAAATTACTATCAAACACCGGATGAAAAAAAGGCTAAAAAAGATAAAGAATTCAACAATCAACTCTTTTTGATCAAGTCTGTACAAGATATGAATTGTTAGATACTTTGGTTAAAATAATTATCTGAGCATCTCGAAAAGTGGTAGCAACAACATTTTCAACAGATGTATAAGTATTTAGCTTTGTTTACTAATCAAATTAATATTTTTTAATTGTGTAACAGGTGTATCAATGTAGCAAAACGACAATTTAATTTGTAGCTATATGATTTATAGGCAAGAATGATATGACTGAATAAAAAGTAAAAAAGTATAAAGTAGAGACATATTGTATGAACTGAGTATTGGAAAGGATGTGAGATGAAGACAATCTGGAAGAATTTTTGTCAAAAAAGGGTTAAAGTTACAAATAATGTGTCTTCTGTGTTTTAACTGTGTCTTGTATTGACGATTCAGTTCGTCCAAACAGAACTCAGTTAAAACCTAGAAAAAAAGTTAATAATTCTGACTCTGGCCTTGGAAAATTCCAATTTCATTTACAAGAGTTAAGTAATGAAGAAATGTGTAGTATAAAACGTATTTACTTACCATAAGTAGAAAAACTTTTATTTCTCCACTAGCATCTAGCGCTGTAACTCTAATACTTTTTTCGTTTGCTTTTTCTACTACCATTTCTGCCCAAATCTAAAATTATTGACAAAAATAAAATATATACAATTACAAATATTATAGAATAGAATATTCTTTATTAATCCCATCAGATCACATTGTGATATAGGGCAAGTCATATAGTACATAAAGCATGATCAACAAGTTATATAGGACAATTACATAAAACAAGATCAATAAAATATAGATTAATATAAAAATAATCAAAAAAAAAGATATGCAATATAGAGCGTCTCTGAACCCGTCGGTCCTCATTCTCTAATCTTTTATTAAGTCAAAATATTCATTTAGGTTGTAAACGCATAATTGGATTAAGCATGCTTTTAATTTATTTTTGAATTTTTGAATATTATTTTCATTTCTTATATTAAGTGGCAAACAATTGTAAAATTTAGATCCTGCAAAATCAGGACAAGTTTCAAAGAGAGTTGTAGTGTTTACATACGCTTATCAACCTCTCGTGTCTTGTCGGGTAATAGAAAGTCAGAGTTGAGGGTAAAATTTTGAAATTTAGTTTTGACGTGAATAATACACTTATAAATATATAAAGCATGAAAAGTCAACAGCCTGTGTTCGATAAAATATTTACGACATGATTGTCTATTATCAATAGTGATAGGCCATCTATGAATAAACCAATGCATAATACACACTTATCAATTGATTGGTGTTAAATAAAGTTTTCAACTGAAGGATCGCATAGTAACCCTTATTCATTGTTTTGCAGACTTTAGTGACATTTTCATCCCATGTCATATTACTTTCTAGAATGCTACCAAGAAATAATGTTGTATCACTTAAAAGGTATTTCCTCAGAACTAACTGTGATTTTATAACCATGGGATGGATTACAGCGCGAGTAGAACTGCATACAAATAGTTTTCTTTGCATTTACCATTAAAGAGTTCCTTTTACACCAGGTTGTAAATTCCTGTGCTACTAAGTTCATTTTTGATATGAGTTCGACTTCAGTTGACTCGTCAACTACAATTGTTGAATCATCTGCATAAAGAACTGTATGGTCTGCAGTTAAAAAATTTGTCAAATCATTGAAATATAAAAGAAATATTAAGGGTCCCAGTACGGAGTATTGCGGTACACCTTGATCAAGATTAAAAACAAATAGACTTCTTATTATCAACTTTTACTAGGAATTTACGATGTTGTAAGTATAACCTTAACCAGTTCAAGAAAAGACCCCGAAAACCAAGGGCTTCTAATTTATGCAGTATAATTTCAATATAAATAGAGTCAAAAGCCTTAGTTAAGTCAAAAAAGAGTGCACCACATACCTTTTTCGATCCAAAGGAACGTGGATATAATTAAATAATGAAATAGAAGCACTCTCTGTAGATTTATTAGGAAGAAACCCATGCTGGCATTTATTTAAGATATCATATTTATTCAGAAAATTTAACATTTTACTGTAAATACACTTTTCGATAATCTTAGAGAGTACACTTGTTACGGTGATCGGCCTGTAATTATCAACCAAACATGGATCTCCCTTTTTGAAAATTGGTCTAACTATTCCCGTTTTAAGGTTACTTGGAAACCTGCCATCCTTGACAGATAGGTTGATGATGTGAGACAGAACAGGAGATATATATGAATAAATGTATTTAATTATTTTAGTGGGGATTTGATCCATACCTACTGAGCTGGTATAGTTTAAGGAAGATATAGCATTCTCAATATCAATTGGTGAGACCTCAGAAAAAAAGAATGTGTTGTTAATTGTCATAGTTGGGAAATCGTTAAAGGTATAGTTATTAAAATGTTTTAATAATGTATGTTTGACTGATGTACAAAAATACTCACCAAATTTGTTTGCTATGTGTTCTGGATGTATCAATAATTTATTAATCTGTACTGTACTATACTGTACTACAACTACAGTTATAGTAAAATAAAAAATAATCTTTATTCAAGATCAAGGTAGGTATGTGTCAATTGAAAGCACTCAATAAGTGGATCAATTTAAGCTTATTTTACAATTTTTCTACTGAATGATTTCCGTGATAATCGAAAAAAATGCTTAGGTCACCAACTTAAAAAATAATATATCCCCAAAATAAAGTACAAACTAGAGGTTGGAAAGAATAAGACAACACCCAGAATATGATCAGTTCAATTCCAAGTCGAATGAGGAGTGTAATTCAAAATATAGGTGGTACAGAATATTAAAAAACATGAATTTATTATTTTTATAAAGAAAATAGAAAAAATTACAATGTTAATTTTTGAAATTTTCGATTAAAATCTTCAGTTTTAGAAGTATTTGTTTACATTTCTTATTTAAGAAATGGTTGCATAATGCTTTAGAACATATTCTTAAACATTACACAAACATCTAATGACAATCAATTTTTTGTAGGGTCATAAAAATTAAAAAATGTCAAAAATTTTAGATTTTTTTTTTTTAACAATTTACGATATTCTGTAAATACAAAAATAACAAATATTTGATTATAATTCAAAGTTCGTATAGCCCTAGAAAACAAATACGAGATAACTAATTAGTTCAATTATCAAATCACTAAAGTAAATAAAAATAGCTTAGTCATTTTCAAACCGATAAAAAATTTACAAAAGGAATATTTCACCAAATTAACCATCATTGTACTACGAAGGGTGATCAAAAAGTTCGAGGATTTAGAACAGAATGCTTAAAAACTTCAAAATGTTCAATACTGTTTATTCATGTTCAAAAGATAAAATCTTTGTATAAAAGGAATTTTTATTAATATTTTTTAAGTTAATTTTCAAATTCCTTTTCAGGCAAGTTTCTGATAGTCTCAGGCAGCACAATAAAACATTTTATTGATTCTGGTCCACTTTGACAATTTTTCAAACGACAATATACTGGCATCATATTCTGCTTCTGTCTAGAATCGTAACTGTCCTGATCTTCATGAATTCTAAAGATTGATACTCCTCTTCATGAATCGAAGTTTTCTAGAATGTACTGTGCCGGTACAGTAAGAATTGCCAAACTTTGGCAGGTCTACCTAAATCCCAAACCAGCAAGGACTCTCACTGCCTTTCTCTGCAGATCAAATACTCTGTGAGTGACAGCTGCATGACCTCAGACAAGGATAGGGTATGAAAGATGTGAGTGGAGTATGGAGTGATATGTAGTAGGTACATAATAGTCTCCAGTGAGATGCATTTTAAAAGGTTTCTCAAAATAAAGACTTTTATTTAGTTTTTTGCACAAGTTATTAATATGTGAGCCCCACTGTAATTTTAGACCCAAAAGAACTCATCAATATATCCGACTCCAACGTTATTTCAACTGCTGAAAGGACCCCGATAACTGTTTTTGTGGATTAGTGCTTAACTCTAATAGCGATTTTTCTGTGATTTCTTTTTGAAGATCTCTTGAGTTGGTACAACAAGAAAAACTCCACATGAGCTACTTCTGGTAAGTTGGGGTTGATGGATGTCAGTCATGCTGTTTCTTATATAGAAATCGTGAATGAACCCCACAAAATGTACTGGTGTATTCATTACAAGCCCCTCCCATATCAGTTAACCCAATGTAGATTCAAAAGAAAATTAAATTTTGGAGAAGAAAAACATGAGTTCAACATAAACTTTAAAGGTTTTAATTCATCGAAAAACATTTTTGGATTTCCATAATTTGAATCCTCATTCCAACAGAATGAGGATTCTGTCTCCGGCTTCTATATAAAATGTAGCTTCTCCATTTCTTAAATTTTAAAGTGTTTGTTTGTCTTTGTTTAGTGTATTTGTTATGTCCCAATTTACATTTATGACATTCTGTTACTGCTGGATAGTCCACAACTGACGAAATGCCCCTGAGGATGATCTTGTGATCGAAAGTACTTGGGCAAGATTTGATTAACTACTGTGTTCGATATTTGCCTTGTGTACCATCAAAGTTCATTTATTCGAACATTCAACCTTATATTGCTTTCTTTATTTCGCGAAACAATGATTCTATCATGGACTGTTAGAAACCTATTTCAGAAGTGGTATACAAAGATCTTTAACCCAGCTTAAACTCTTTTTTGATGTATCATAACCTGCGCCGTCCATTTTTTGTTGATTTTGACTTGTTTGAAATGACTGTTCCATAAATTGGTAAAAGAGATTCTCTTAAAGTTTTAAATATTTGTCCTTATTTAAGGTCCTGTCAATATTAAAATACAAATTGTCCACACTCTTAGACGACATGATACCCTAGACCATGATAGATGCAGGAAATTTGACTTTTCTTTTGATAATGGTAGAAAAAATTAAAATTTCAAATTTTTAGAAGGATCGGTCAAATAGTTTTTAAGAAATCGTGGTCACCGTATGTAAAAGAAGATTTTGAGAAAAACGTGTTTAAACGTTTTTTACATTTGGCGACCTCGATTTCTCAAAAACTATTTGACCAATCCTTCTGAAATGTTAACCAAGCATTTGACAAACATTTGAGTATCGCATGAACTAAAATAATGCTATAATTTTAATTTTTTCTACCTTTTTTTTAGTTCATACTGTAGTTACTAGTCTACTAAACAGAAATGTAAATGTACTACTGTAAATTTCATGTTTGAGATAATTCCTTAGTACAAAAACATGGTCACTGCGAATTTTGAGACTAACACAGGAAATCTGCCATTTGAAATTATAAAATGTTGAAAATAAATTAATAATTTTTTTTGCATACTTTAAGAGTACATTTATTAAGCTAAAAAATGTAGAATCTTATATACCATTAAAGTCACAGAATAAATTTGAAAATAAATAGTACTTTCCAAACATTGTCACATGATAAAGGCCCCTTAACAGGATAATATTTAATTGCTGATAATGCTCATACATTATTATGCAATGTATTTCAAAAGTTGTACAAAATATTAAAAGAAGTCTGTAATTCATCTACGAACTTCAAATTGCTGGAACACCACAGTGTCATCCAGTATTAAAAATAATAAATCCACACCAACAATGCATCCAAACTAATAAAATCCAAACGAACTTAACACAAAATTGTACTTACTTTGGTATTCAAGATGACTCGCAAACTTCCTGATGTTCTAAAAACCAATCTACTACCTGCGGCACAATTTTTAACGAAGTCATACCCATTCAGGTCATTTAACCTCAAAGTCCCTCTCCCCAACTCCAACCAGTTACTAGATGATTTATTAAACGAGAATAATTTACAGGAGATACTTAAAATATTAATTTCATCTTCTTCACCAGTTATGACTTCTACTTCTTCATATTTTCGCTTGTTCGCTCTGGATTCCTCGTATTCTTTTGCTGATTCGCTTAATGATTTCATTTCTTTTTCTTTTGAAGTATCTGCTGGATCGGCTACAAAAAATGAGAAGGTATATTCAGCATAAATACATAATAATATTCTGATTATTGCTCAATAGTCATTTATTAGATTTATAAAATTTTAAATTTAAAAAAAAAAATGTTCAACATATACTATATATAGATGCAAACAAGCAATAGAAGTTCTAGGGTACTCCATCAGTGGAAAGCAAAACTAAGGTGCTTCATCACCACAAAAATGTTGTTTTTGGTAAATAATCTCATCAATTATTAATAGATAAATGTAAAAATCAGCAATCATCAGTAAGTGGATTCAAGTAGCCTCAAGTCAAGTCCATCGGGCTCCAGACAAGCTAACATAAGTTAATTAAACCAAAAAATAGACTATAATAAAATCCTTAACAAAAAAAGTGTTCCTCGATTCATACAGTTTCCGAATTTTAATAAACAATTTTTGTAACCTGATCGAAACTAAAGTTGGTGATCAGCGACTAGTCTATACTAGAATATACACAGCAAACCCCAACATCTTTGTCCCAATTTATCGATGTCCTGCTGATGTATTTAATTTTTAAGTCGACAATAATAAACATAGCATTGTAAACAATAACAAATTCCTCAAAAAAGCCTGAATTAAAAAGCTCTCACTCCTGATGCCACCCAATATGTAGTTTCTTCGATTTTTAATAATTTTTAAACTGCTTGTCCTTGTGTCACAATGTATCATTTAATGTTTATGACATTCTCCATATATTGTTGGATAGCCCAATTTTGACAAAATGCCCCTGAAGATGCTCTAGGAACTAAAGTACTTGGGCAAGATTTAATAAAAAAAAACTGACATAAAAACCTCATATTCAAATGAAAGACTTGAAATTTCTAGTTCTTGAATGAAGTATTTGTGTGACTTAGTATAAATTTAAGAATCATATTTGGCATAATATATGTATTAGGTTTTCCTATTGATCACAGTGCTTCTATTTAGAAAATATGTATTAGGCTGTTTATGTATTTAAAATAAATACATTCATACAAGCATTTTGTTCCTAAATAAATCATTTAAATCATATATAATCTTAGTTTTACCTTGGGTGTATAGAATTTAAGTGAAAAAATGTATTAAAAAGTCATTAGGATTAAGTGGAGGAGTTACAATTAAAGAAGCCATTTTCTGTTCTTTCGTTGTTGGAACATCCTCTCTGCATCCACAATTTTTCTATACAACATCTATACCAAATGCTATATGAAACATGAAATAAGTGTGAAAAAAGTAAAACTATCAGGCTTTAAAGTAATCAAAAATTCTATCTTTATGTACTTGATGACCTAATATGCTTGCTCCTTTATAAGATACAAATTCTTTATTTGGAACATCCTTCAAAAATGTAGATATGATCCAGAAGACCCATTCCCTCCAACAGATGCATGACTGATTCATCATTTTAGAGTTTTTTACCTGATATGGCTAACAAATGGATACTTCTTAAATTTATCCAATCATCCAATAAGCCAATCTTAATGGCACAAAAACAAAAATATCCTTTTTGGTGAAACACAACAGCTTTTGCTTTAAAAACCTCTCCATATAGATAAGGACTCTGTTTCATTAAGCACATGTATAGAGCTTCTTCCATCTTTAGAGAATCATCAACTATTCTTTGTTTCAAGTTAAGAAAATAACATTACGCTTATGGAGATCAGTGTTGCCAAAACTCTCAGACACTCTCTTTTGCACGGATGTCCAAGATATTCCCTTTGCTTAATTTTTGAATTTTCATTTTCAATTAATATTTAACTGTAAAGTCAGAATAACTACTAAATAAAAGCCTTATTATCATTATGTAGTCAGAGAACAACATAAAATAGCTGACATACGCACATAGTATTATTTTAAGTTGCAATTAGTAATTAGATATACGCATTCCAAGCCGACAATATGTTCTACTGATTTCTATGATTCATGGCATATCATATTCTCACCGAAAAACAAATAAACTGTCGTTACTATAATTAAAATAAGATAAAATAAAATTATCTTTTGTAAATACTATTTATCTAATTAAAATCATTTTCCCTACTTTTCATCTCTTGTTTCGAATGGGCACTTTTGGTCAATTACTTTAAAAAACATTAATTTAATTCATGTTTGTGGAAACGAAAATACAAATTATACAACCCTAAATTGTGCTTGAGTGTGTCGTGGCAACGCCGCGTTGCTATCGTCCATAAGAAATACATGGCCCTATCTCTGCAATGTTATTTTCTAAATGTGGAACGTAGTATAGTAATGTTTTGGAATTTCTGGATGTGGATTCCATTGTTGTCTTTACTTTTTCCAAATTGTAAATTGTAAAGCAAAATTAATTGTTGCATTCTACACTCTTGCACATGTTTACTCCACTATTTAATTTGTTTAAAAAGTATATTTTCTCTTTCTAAACTACAGTCGTATGCATTTTATCAACATTTTGGCCTACACCATTTAATGAAAATAACTTTAAAACAACAGTAGACAGAGGTGGAAGATGCACCAGAGAGACATGTCTGACTACTTAAAGGCCAGATTACTATATTTGTAAAATGCACTGATATTATTGGGGCCTTTGTATTTTTATTTTAATGAATTAAAAATTATAGTACAATGTATGAATCCCTACTTTAACTAATTCACAACAAAAATTATTGTCTTACCTTTAAGTTCACTCTTGATAGCACTGCTAAACAACATTTCTGAAGTACCATTGGCCCCTAAACTTGTTGAAGCCTTAGATTCCTCTTTATTTTCAGTTTCTGCCACTCTTTCCTTTAAGTTCTGTCCGAATACAAAAGAATTACTGGAAATTTTGGTTTCAACAGGTTGAGATTTTGTTTCTGCAACTGTGGGAATATAACAATGTCAAATAAGAAAAATAAGGTGATTGTTTGACATTAAGTAATCTCGCATTGTATAGATGGCATTATGTGACAACAAGTTGCTCTAGCTTTTGATATCTTTCAAATATTATCTATGTGATAATGCCAAGTTTGCACACTATCAGCAATAATTGGATGCCTGTATCAGAATCTTTTGGCACTATCATTAAACAATTCTACGTGTCTATCATTAATTTGAAGTATATTAATATTTTAAATTTATTTTGAGATATAGTAAAATTAAATCATTTTCTTGATATAAAAGATGTTTTGCAGGCTCATCCATAAAGGTGTTTTACTAAGTAGGCACTCTCCCTAGTCCAACATGAATTTTTTTCATTTATACTGTACTAAATAACTTTTTTAAATAAACTAAAATAAATATATACAATTGTGTAGGATCTTTTAATAAAATCTTATGTAAAACTTTGGTTCAGTTTAAAAGTAATTATTTTTAACAGTTTGGTTTTATCAACAGTCACACAAACTGCTCTGTTTGTCTGTCTCACAAAATTCTCATCAATTGTGGTTGAATGTTAAATCATAAAAAACTGCTGTGATTCAACAAATTAAGTAAACTATTTACTATCCACACCACATAAGGATTATTAATTGTCACATCCCTAACTTTTAAATTTCATGTAGATTTGTGAATTTATCATAAGAGCAGATCTAATAATTTATTTTTAATTTACTTACCTTTTTGTGTTGGTTTTTCAGGTACTACCAAAGGCACAAACTTCGGCATGTCTCCATTTACTCTGGTATCACTATTATCTGATTTTTCACTATTGGTCTTATCACTACAATTCTTAACGGGATTAAGTTGACTGGGCTTTAATACAAACGGTGTCGAGGTGGTATTGTTGGTTTTAATATTAAACTGAGCTGGCTTTAGAATACCTTTTGATATTTTATTTTGTGGGGAAGCAAATGGATTGTTTGATAGTGGTAAAGTGGGTCTAAATGTTGGACTGCACATTTTAAATTCTTCTGTTTTCAATGTTTCTGTGTTCTTTTCGTTTTCTTCAGACTCTAAAAAACATTTTAAGTTTTAAGATTCAGATGCACATCTAAAAAGCTGGCTATCCAGGTAGACACGCATTAATTTTACTAGTTTATTTTCTGTTAAAACACTATTTCTATAATTTTGTTAAGGTAAAAAATAAGCAATTGTTCACTACGATCCAAGTTACCTTTATCATTAGTTTCTTCAGGTCCATCAATCTTCATAATAATTGGGGACTGCACGACGGCAGTTTTAACACTATCGTCAGTGGAATCTAAAAATAAAATAATTTCATAAAATTTTTATGGAATAATTAAAAATTGGAATTCAAAATATGTATAATAAATATTCATGTTTTAAAACATACTTCTCTGCGATTCCTCCATTTTTATTTATAATCATAACCCTAAAAGACAGTAGAGCCAACCCACTGTTCAAAAAATACCAATCATTTCTTACGAGTGTATACACGCACGATGATGCAGCACTTTTATACCAGTTTGAAGACAAACATACAAATAATCATACATCATGCATTGTAAATAAATCATAATTTAGACCCTGGATTTTTTCGTCGATATATACTAGAATTTTTTATTTATTATGTCAGTGTCATTGTCCGATTTTTGTTCAATTAATGATTTATGTTTTCGACGTCAGATACTGTACGGACGGTTAGATATTTTTTGATATTTTGGTTTGTCTCTGAATCAATACTGCTATTATTGCAGTTAAATTGTCTTATGTGTGTTTATAATTTTTAGGCGTTTTCTTTTTAGTCGTTAACCTGTTACAATTATAGATAATGATTCATTCAAAGTCAGTTAGGATCAAATTAATCCATTTTGAATTACTTTTTCATATTTTCAAAACGTCTTAATTTTAACGTTTCCGTCTATTGTCTATATAGATATCGCCAGTGTTTCAACTGAACTAATACGTTCGTAGCTTTATACACTCCCACATTCTGGAATTATTATTATTCTGTCATTTTGTCGATAAATTAACCAACAAAAAGATAAATAAAGCACAGTATATACCTCAAATAGTAGTGTAAGTGAAATAGGACAGGTGGGAAAAGTGAATTGCATGGGCCCAGCCGTTCGTAATGGCGACGGCGCTACTAAACATGGTGGTGGTATGACATAGCAGGCGTATGACATTGATGTAAGCGCTGTTACCATGGTTTTACTAACTTTGCATATTTACCTAAATAATGATCATACTATACAATAGGTTTGTTCCTACAGAAGTTTCAAACTGTCGCCGACTGTCAGACGCATGCGCAATAATAATTTCGCCGTTCCAACAAGATTTTCTCTGATACCTTGTCAACAAAGTACACTGTTCCATGAAATATAAAACCAGTTTGAAATTAGTTCCTGACAGTTTGAAAAGTTTCCGAACTTTTTGCAAACTGGTAATCACAGACATGCGCAATTAGTCGAATTTTGATTTACTCACACCTACACTGTTTATTTTTAATTTTAAATAGGTACCTTTGTTTTGGTAATTTTGTTGTTTTAAGTACATACATAATATTGTATTTTAGTGTTTTATACTTTTGATATTATAATTTATAAAACAATGAGTGACAGTGAATATTCGTCATTATCCTCTATGAGCGACTCCAGTGATGACTTGGAAGAAATTGTATTGGAAGATAGAATTCGCCCTAAAAATAGAAACTATTTTGAAACAACTGTTTCCCAATACAATGAAACAGAGTTTAAGGAGCATTTTCGAATAAGTCGGCATGTTACTGAGTCCATAGCTGAACAGTTTCAAAATAGTGACTACTATAAAATACATGCAGGACCATATGGTAAATTGTCAGCAATGCAACAAGTTTTAATTTTTTTATGGTATATAGGCCATCAAACGGCTAGTTTTAGAGATGTTGCAGACCGCTTCAACATTACAATAAGTTCTTTGTCTAGAGTGATACGAAAAGTGACTTACTTTTTGAGCTACTGCTCAAGTCATATAATAAAATGGCCAACCGATGAAGAAAAAGTTAAAATTGAGAATGTCTTTCGTACGAATGGTTTCTTAGGTGTAATTGGGATAATTGATGATACACATATCAAGATTGACAAACCAAAGGATGATCCAGATTCTTACATAAATAGAAAAGGATTTTATTCGATTCAGGTAATTTTCTTTACTGTACAGTAATAAAATGTATTTATTCTATGTTATGTTTTAGTTACAATTGGTATGTGACCATGAATTACAAATCAGAGACATATTTATTGGTTACCCGGGCTCTGTACATGATAGTCGAGTATTCCGCAGTTCTCCATTGTCTCAGACACTACAAGAAAAATGTGGAAATTATTATATATTAGGAGACAGTGGATATCCTGTATTGCCCAATTTATTAACACCCTTTAGAGACCGGGGGCAGTTAAGTAGGGCCCAAATAAATTATAATTCAAAACTGTGTGCTAACCGGTACTTAGTAGAGCATTGCATAGGAGTCCTCAAACAAAAATTTAGGCAGTTATACCATCTTAAATTACGCTCTATAGCTGATTGTGTACATTTAATAAGAGCAAGTTGTGTTTTGCATAATATTTCATTAAATGATGAATTTTTATATGAAAACAATCCTGCAGGCAATAATGAAGCAGCACCTGATTTACAGTTGGACAATAATGATCCTGATGATGAACCTGATGACAGAAATGGTGCTGCAGTTCGAAATCAAATTTTAAATTTGTTAGAACAATAAAAATTTTAAAATACTTTATTTTTTAATTATTATGATTTTTACAGTTAAAGTAACAAAATATTTATTCAGAAAAACAATACTATACATATAAATTAATCTTATGGATTTTCCCTAAGTTTGTTTTGCTTTTCAAGTAGTTGGTTCTGCTTCTCAAGTAATTGGTTTTGCTTCTCAAGTAATAGATTTCGCCTTTTTATCTTTTCTAGTTTTTCTCTATGAACCACTAGCTTATCCCTTTCAATACTGAGCCTTTCCTTATAATATTCTGCTCTCTCTATTCTCATATTTTCCAATATTCTATTTCTATTTAGAATTGGATGCTTTGTATTGGTATTAGGTGCAGATGTAGCGGTGTGGGTAACTGGAACTGGGCTGTCAGTATTCTCTACTTCTTGAGTTTCAGTCTCCTTTAGAACTACATCTGAAGTCAACGACACATTTTCAATAACTTTTGTAGCAGATAGAAGTATCTCGGGATGAATATTTCGTTTTTTTTTGAATATACTGTCCATTTCATCTTTGAATTCAAAAAATTTTCGTCCTCTACCTGTTTTATTCTGATTATCTACGAACTTTTTGTATCCCCTTTCCAATACACGCCATTTATTTTCACAATGCGACGGGGACACATTTATATGTAAATTTTTATTTATTTCCTTGGCTATAATCTCCCATAATTTTTTTAAATTTCTTATTTGGAGAGTTCCAACCTTAGGTTTATATTTCTTATATAAATCTATTAATACTTTAGACTGATTAGTGGTCCAGACCACATAGTCTACAGTTTTAACACTACTATCTTCAACATGGTTTTCATGGTAAATAATAATTTCTTCCATATCTAAAACAAATTAGTATTTATTATAGGTAACTGCATGATAATAATAATTATAAAGATTTACCTTCCTCATTGTTTTCCATTTTAAAGAAGAAACAATTTACTTTGTTACAGCGAATAAAATAACACAAAATTTGTTTATTTAATATAGGCAACTTGCCAGCTCGATAGGATATTGTTCCAACAAAAATCACAAACTAGTTCGCGGCTGGTTAAATTCGCACATGCGTATTGTGCAGCAGTCAGAAACTGCCCTGAACTAGTTTCTGATTCTTTGTAGGAACAAACCTAATGTTTTCCAAAAAAACAAAGATTGTATCAGATTCTACTAAAATCACAACTTAAATTAGAATAACTTATTTCTAAAGAATTTTGAATAGGTATCCACCAGGTATCCACCGAAAAAAAAAAACAATGTGTTAGTGGCAACATTGTAATCCACGCCATTGCAAATACAAATTTCAAATGGCGATGGCGATATAAAAACATTGTGTCCCAAATTTTAGAAATATGGGATAAACAATATGCATCAATTTTTAATATCTAATTGCTAAAAGAGAAGGAACAATACCAAAATGGTGTATAGTATTCCAAATGGAAAGAATCAAAAGAATATTTTTTGTGGATGGGTCAAAGTTGTTGGTTAAAGTTGGACGAAGGGATATTAAACATTCTGATTATTTGTTTATTTTTACAAGCCTCGTAACAACAGTATCTTCTACTTCTGAGCAATAGTTACATACTAATTTGTGATGATCCTGAAGAGCAAGATTGCAGAAATGCTAGAGTTTACACTTTATTATCTACAGATGGTCCTCTAAGGAAGAGTATTTAGAAGGTATGAAATTTATAAGAAACCAGTACTAATGAATATAGAGGTATCGATATCTGTTTATCAATAGGAAGATCTTCAACACGATGGGAAGATTAAATGAAGAGTGTTGGAAAAATCCCTACACGAATCTGATGCAGAATCGCAGATCACAGCCAATGGAGAGAGCAAGCTAACAATATTTAGAGTGTCCCCACCCACACCCTCATAAGGGCTTAAGGAATAAGGAGGAGGAGTATATTTGTTGCCAATACTTTACCAAAGAAAAGTATACAAATAAACAAGTCAAGATAGCTGTGTTTTATTTTGTTGTTTTCGGGACTTTAGTTTGTTTTTATATATAAAAATGCGTTATAAGTGTATACTATATTTTTGGACAGAGAGAATATATTTTTTGGCATAGAATAAGTTTTTATTTCTTATTTTATGACCATCTATGTATTTTCCATTAAAAACATACTTTTTGAATTTTGCCGTCTAAAATTCAGAGCATATTTTTTGAATATCCGCTTAAAACCGTTACTCAGAACCTACGTTTTAAATTTACCGCCAAATAAAATTAGGTTCGGCCCGTCCGCACTTGGCGCTAGAAACACTCTCAAATCTTTCTATAGGACTTACCTTACTAGAGGACTATGTACTGTGAAATAAAATAATCCATAACCACAGAATAATAAACAATTGTTTATTATTCTTTGCCATAACCAATAAACCAATCATATTAGTATTTAATTTCTGTCATCAAGTTATTTACTTTTTTTTTTTAATTATATAAGATTAAAATTACACAGGAAAAACTGAGTATCTTGTATTTATTTAAAATTAAATAACATCATGTTCAAGTCAGATATTAGTATTTATAATCGTGTATATGAATATCTATATATTTTTGTTAAAACTTTTTGGAAATATTGATCAAACTTTTACGATTCGTTTTTGCTTGAAATTGAGAATGGCAGGTGTTATATTTACAAACCAAATAACTTAAAGATATCAAACGAATATAAAATCAAGGAGGTAAGTATTATTGATAGAATCATAAAGTTTACATCAAAATGATGGAAGGTAGTCAGCTCCAACAAAGGTTTAAAAAGAGATCGTTTACGGGCAGCAGAAGACCTATTCTAGTCACAACAAGAAGGAGAACGACACAAGATCTTTCAATCTTGCATGAGGGAAAAGATGTAACTCCGAAACCATT